ATATATATAAAAAATTGCAGCCAGAAAAACGCATTTACATCAGAAGGTGATCTCTGGTCCTGACACAACTGTGTCAGAAGAACTTGCAATAAATATGCTTTTCTCATGCTATGAAGTATTTTAAAAAAATCTATTTTAATTATGCATCTTGACATGTCCCCCTCCTGTGCAATGGCCAAAGTACCTTTGACAATGGGATTTGTGTGGTTTTTTGTAAGGATTCAAAATATGAATGTGCTGCTTATTCATGCAGTAGCTCACAAGACACACTTTCCTACCGTAGGGAATGGGATGTGCATCTACAGCCATGCTCATACGTTCGTTTGACTGTTGTGTGTGTTAGTAGGACTTGAAAGTAAGACCTAGACCACCAGTCATACCTTCCCAGAGTCTGTACCTTAGAGCTAATCCCACAGCTTCCCACCACAGCACTCATTTCCCTCGTGGCAGATTAAAACACAGAGCACATCTCAGCCACCACATGCTTAGTTTTAAAGTGAAAAAAACTCTAACGAATAATGTTACAAAGCCTACAACCAGTTCACTGTGTTCAATCAGAACTATTTGTTGATTAAGTCCAATTCTTCACATTCATAGGAAGTTTTATTAAAAAGAATTTCCAAGAAACTATTTTTTGTTTCCTCAGTTCCTCTGACAAGATTAACTATATTCTGCTTCAGCAATAGAAGATTAAAAAAAAAAAAAAAATATTCCCCACTAAACTACAAGCCACTTGGAGTGCTCTTCTCTTCTTTTCCCAATGTGTTAATCAGACACTTCAGCTTTTCGGTGACCCTGAGGAGGGGAGAACATTCCTTTCAACCTCATTGCTGTGTTTTTCTGATTACACTAGCAGGCCTTTTTGCCCAGCAGCAATCCAGGCAGAGCCGGCTGGTTTGGCGCAATCTGGAAGGCTGTTGTAATAACAGACACAAAAAAAAAATCCAAGGAAGAGCCTGGCGGCTGTATAAAACTCTCTCAGAGCTCCAGTCCTGCAGAAGTGCACTGGCCTCAGCAATCAGCATGACCAGCCAGTCCCAGGGAATCCAGCAGCTTCTGCAGGCAGAAAAACGTGCCAAGGACAAACTGGAGGAAGCCAAAAAAAGTGAGTAGCTGGCCTGGTTTTACTGTAGTTTTCTACTGTAAGTTCTTCAGAATTACAGTGGCTCACAGAAAAACAACATTATTTCATCTGTATACATCACAGCTGTGCTGCTCCTATTCTTTCTTCTCACTGGCATTAGTGCTGTGCCTTGACAGCAGTCAGGCATTTAACAAAACCTGAACATTCGGAGTTTGCTTAAAATCCTGCATGCACTTGTGTGCTTGTGTGTGTGCACACGCACATGCCTTATTACATTAAACAAGGCTTTCTTTGTTATATTCGTCCTGTCAGCTAGATTTATTCTTGCTTTATCTCAATGCCAATAATGTCATTACAGCCTTCCTTAGGTATTTAAACTAGAAGCCTACATGCCTGTGGCTGCCAGCTCTGGAGAACCAGACTCCAAACTCTCTATTTCTTTTTATAGGTCTTGTATACATTTTTCAGTGTTCTTCTTTACTTACGAAATCTAGTAACTTGCCTTCTAATCTCAGCTGGGCTTCAAAAAAATTATATTAAAACAAAGGGAGACTTCAGCACAAGGATAGTAATGAAAGTCACAGTACAATCACAAGATCTGTCAGTACTGTGATAGGTCATTCCTGTAATTCTTATTACATGGTACAGGCAATCAGCAAGTGATTAAATGTTCAATTTAAAATAAACATCTTGTTTGCTGAATGCCTAAATGCCCAGGGCAAAGCATGTGTAGATATCCAATAATAATAAATTCATATATTTTTATTCTTGTCAAATATAAGCAAAAAAGTAATAATAACAAACATAAAAATGAAGGTATCTGTAGAATAATTTCAATCAAAGAAATAATTCTCCTGTCAGTCTTTCCATTATGTTTTTCCTTCATTTTCTGCATTCATCTCCCAGTGATTTAATGCAAAATATGGTAACCTTATTCTCCTGAACGTAGGTACCAACCACATGAGTCACTGACCTGCATTAGCAGTGAAACATTAACACTGTTTCATGGCGTTATCTTATTTAGAAACCAGCAGTAGGAAACAACGTTGTCCTGCAGGACTCATCTAAAATGCATGAAGATGATGTCATGTGCTGCAGGAGTGTGATCAAGGAATATATTTTGTTTTCCATGGAGAAATAGAAGCTAAACAAAAATAATTTGTGTAGTTCCTATATCCCTTCTACACAGAATTCAGCATTGCTCTGTGTTCATTAATTATTATTATGCAACATGTTAATTTGTACAACAGCACACAGAAAATAAGTAGGAAGGCAATACCCCTTCCCTGAGCACCCAGCCACTGTCTGTGCCTTGCAGAAGCCATGGGGGGCAGGGGAAAAGGTATCTCCCATCTTCATAAAAGAGAAGGCTCACAAAAAGGTGTTTGGGGTTGCTGCTCCCAGCCTGAAATCAAGGAATAATTAAGTGATTCAACCCTTATATAGCCAAACGAGGTGCTCTCAGTGGGATGGTTCTTCCCTTCTCACGTAGGGCAGAGGAAACGCACTGTTCCCTAGAGCAAGAAGCAAGAAAGCATATGACCTGGAAAGGCACAGCCCTCAGTGTGGGGAGTGGGGGCTTGGTCTGAACACAGGCGGCAGAATCAGGCCTTTAGCTATGATAGCTTGATGTTGATTACCCTTTACTTTTGGTTTTGATTTTTTTCTTTTCATTTGGTTTGCTTTTGTTTTTAAAACCATAAAAGTCAGATTGGCTTTTTCTAAAACAGCTAGTTAAAAAGAAGTTTCATAAATTAAGAAACTCAAAAAACCAAAAAGCTTCATTATAACATAAAAGTAATGACCGAAGGCAAGTGTCTTGCAGAATCCAGACATGGTTACAGGTGCATTTACTCTGCAAAGAACACGCTCCCCTGTCATCACCTCAGCCCCACACAGCATGCTTGTGATAAGCACGGGGCTTCTTACAGATAAAGCATCTTCCAGACATGTCAAGTCAGAAACTTGACTTAAACCACTGCCTACACCTACCAGTGTATTAGTGTTGAGGTAGGAGTTATTCAGCAGCTACAGAAGAACAGCTATTAAAAATTTTGCTATCAGTAAAAATAGTTAGAGTAAAAATATTTCATTAGTATGAGTTTCTTCACTATTACTTTTAAAGCCAAACATTTTTTTGCCTTTATAAAAATTATGAAGGAAAGTAAAAATTTCTCATACATAAAAATCTGAGGGGGGAAAAAAGGAAAAAGAAAAAGAAAAAGATGGGAGTGGGGTAAAGAAGAGAGCGCCAGACTCTTTCCAGTGGTATCCATTGAAAGGGCAAGAGACAACAGCATAAATTTAAACATAAGAAAACAACTCTCTGACTGTGAGGAAGGTCAAACCCAGGAACAGGCTGCCCAGAGAGGCTGTGGAGTCTCTATCCCGAGACATTCAAAACCCACTGGATGTGGCCCCGATGAAGCTGCCCTTGCCGAGCCTGCTCTGAGCAGGGGGTTGGAGCAGACCCCGGGGCCCCTTCCAGCCTCAGCAGCTCTGTGCAATCCCGCAAACAACCTCAAGCAGTTCTAAGAGATTTTATTCCTAGGTATAGCAGATCAAGGGCAGAAAGTTGAAATAACTGCTGACGTGGCATATTCACCTATAGCCTAAAGACTTTGGTGGACCCTTTTGTTCATGTTCATAGAAACTGCCAACAGTTTCTACTAGGGTGTGAACAGCAAAGCTCTTGTGAATTTTAGATCTCATGGATCACACGAGCAAGGTCAGGCCGTAATGTTTCTGATTCAGGTTTTTCTAAGGACTACTCCACCCTGGATTTTGTGCTAAACCAAGCATTATAGCTAATCTAACAGAATAATTATACCTAGAAAGTCATTATTCTATTCAACATTACAATAGGTTTGCAGTGAAGCTACAAAATAAAAAATTAAAAATTTCCACGTTGTCCTTAATTTCAGTATTTTTCATAGCAATATCACTATACCACCTTAGATACCCAGCTATACCTGCGTAACTTAAATATTGTGGGACAAGGACAAAAGAGATTCTTTTTGTGCCAAATCCGGTTATGCCAAGTCAGAATAACTCAAGTAGTCTCTTCCCCAGAGTGATTCTGCAGTTAGATCAGCATAAAGGATTGCGTAGATTGTCTCTGAGCGTAAAAGCCAAGGTAAAAGGAAACACACGAAAAGCAACCAATATATCCGGTGCAAACAGTTAACCTGTGCACACACAATTCAGACAAACAAGGCGAGGACATGCTGCCTCAGCCCAGGAAACACCAGCCCAGATTCACCTGGTACCAGTTCAGATCAGCACCTCCTGCTCGGGGCCTGGCACTCTGCAGATCTGGGCTGCAAGTGAAAGCAATGAACCTGTCCAGTGAGTGCTGATGCAGTCCCGTCCCTGCTAAACTGTACATATGACCTCCTTTGTCACCACAAACAGCCATTGCACACCACCACTATACGAATGAGTCCGACTATTCTATTTACATTGTAACGCGAGAAGAACGAAAGGCAGATCGTTCACGGGACACAACCAGGAAAAGCCATTTTCAAGGAAATGTGATTAGCAAAACTACCCTTATGCAAACCCTTCAGTGTTTACAGTTGATACTCACATAACCAGATCAAAATGTAGTGTGAACACACATAATATTGTATATAAATAGCTAAAGCGCCTAGTTTTTGCTGACATATGTGCAGCTGTTTGTAACGCAAAATCCACTTTGGATAACTGAAAAATTAGCAAATAAATAGAATTATATTTATAGACAAGAAGCAAAGCAAAAATACAGTGCTAAAGCTCCTCTGTACATGCTTTTCATACTTCTTGCTCGATACCCTTTATCCTGGCTTGCAGTATCTTTACCGTATGATTGGCTGTCATTTATACCTGACAAATTATTAATAGTTTCTTAGTAAATACACACATACAAGGCTGAAACTATTAAATTGATTAAACACAAACCAAAACAGTCTGCAATCCTTTGGTCTTTCATACACAGCACTGCTTTATCTATCATTCTTGCTTTAAGCATAATTTGGATCCCAGAAATAACTGAGCATTGTCAGAGCCAAGACATCAATTCCTGAAAATCCTTTTGGGTAAAACACGGGAAACAAATGTGTCATCAACACTGGGTTTAGCAAAACTTGTTTTCCTATAGATTTTTATATCTTGGCTTGAATTTCTAGTGCCTAATAAAATGAAAACTCAGATGAAAGATTTCAGGAAATCAGATTAAAAACAAATGTTAATCAAAATAAGATACCGTAAACAGAATTATACCCATGGCGCTCTCTTGGATAATATCCAGGACATATTTTATCTACTGAAAAAGCTACACATACTGCTCAGCTGCTTTTATTGTATTTTATTAAAAGTGCAAAATAGTCTTCTCAAAAATGAGCATCCCTAAATCCCATTTTGCAGACAATTTATCACTCTTGAAGATGACTGAAATGGTCCTACTTAAAGCAAATAGGATTCATTTTTGGCAACTTCTTCATATGACATGATTTCTATGCAGAAATTCAGCTAGAAACCTAGATGATATGTTTGAAAACAGAAAGCCAATTTTAGCATGGCAGTTTTTGGAAAGTAAGATAACTTAGTGTTTGAGCAAATTACAATGCAACATTTTTGCTTTCTACTGTCTTTTTCTTGCAAGATCTAAAAACCCCCAACAACCTAAAAAACCTCACCAGTTCTTTTGGCTCTAATCAGATCTAGGTACTTCATGAACATCACAGAAATACCTAGAAAGAAGAATACAACATTTCTCCATGCTAATAATGCCTTCCCAAGGTTAGGTAAGAAAATCTAATACAGGGCTGACTTGTTACAGAAAGGTAGTTAAGATCTGGCCGATTTAACATGATGCCTAGAAATTTATAGGCTGTCAGCTACCGTAATCATGGACAACAGTGGACAAGGAAACCAGGCATAGCACAGCTGCTTTGTTGCTCCCCATCTTCAAGGGTGGGAAGGAGGGACAAAGGGACAGCGACACAGCATGCCCTTTGAGGCAAAAGTCCCTTCAAACTTGGAGCTTTCTGTACCTCACCTTTATGATCCTAGAGGAAATGTCGTAGGGACAGGTTAGTTTGCCCACCTCCTTTATTTCTTGCCGTCTTTTTGCATGATCTTGGCTGAATTTCAATGCTCTGCCACCCTTCAGTGTGTAAGGTTTGATTTCAGCTTGGCTGTGCTCTGCAGAGAATCCCATCCAGAAGATCAGCAAGACTTTGAAAAGGCAATCCCGTATTGCACAACTAAGGTAGCAGACAAGTGGTTAATAACAGACTGATTAATTAATTTTGGTTTGTCTCTAGTGAAACAGCAGGTTAAGCTCTAGTTTCTGCTTAACTTAATCAGGTGCAGCATATGCACTATCGCATATGTTGGCAGTTGCCGATTCTGTCCACAACGTTGTTGAACTAGCAGTAATTTACTCACAGCTTTTCCACTTAATTAAATAGGAAGCAGCAGGTTCCTGCTGTGCCAATCCTAAAGGCATCATGGAAAAATGAAATGGCTGCCACCCTACAGTGACACCCTATGTATTGTGCTTACTCCAGTGCACTGTCAAGAGCTGACATGTATGTATGTATATATATACTTTTTGGTTCGCTAGCTACATTGTCAGAGGCAAATGAACTGTTGTTTTACAGTTAATCTCTTTCCATTTTGTGCATTTTAAGAGGATTTATTTATCTATCCGGTGGCCAAATATGCAACATATTTACTACAGATGGCCCCCCAGATGGAATTTGAAATTAAAATCCCACCAATTTTGAAATAATTTAATTTGCTCTAGAGATCCAGTTCCTCAGCTGGTGAAATTGGCAGAGCTTCATTGTAGTCACTCCCCCGACTTCCAGCTCCAGAGAATCACCCCCCGGCTCCACTCCTAGAGGAAAACTCTATAAAAGGCTGATCAGCTCCAAATTTGGGGAGAAGAATAAGGGAAACTTCAAAATACAGACCTAAACCTGGTTCCAAATTTTGTTGTCCAGACTGATGTCAGGCTCTCACAGAAATCTGTCAGTTCACACGTACTGGTCCCAAGACTTCATACAGCGAGTGGCAGAAGCTGAGGGAATTGGCCCTTATCAAACAGATACAAACTCTGGCAAAGTACATGTTAGGTTTTAAACTGCCTCTCTGCCCCTTTGTACATAAGCACAGTGCCTCGGTGGCAGAAGGACTCAGAAAGACAATTAACTGCACAAGAGAGCATTGCACTGATGAACTGAGAGTCAGCAAAGCTACCAAGGTCCTCACCAGGTTGCTCCTTCCTGTAAAAAGGCTTTATACAATCACGGAATAAGCACACCCACAAAATCAAGCAGTCCAGGAATCAAGACTTTAACAGGAAATTCACATTTCAGGCATCTCTCTGCTTCTACTCACCCATCTGCAGATAACGACTTCAGAAGGAGCCATCAACTGGGCAAATAATATACTGCTGGATCTGGCATTTTACCCAGGCTTTTGTTGAATCTCAGATGTATCAAAAACAACAGTCCTCCTCCCAAGATTCAGCTTCCTCATTGTGCCATGCTCAGTGGAAGCAGATTGTGCTATGCCACACCTGATAAGGCTTCAGAAGCCCAGCACAGATGTAACCAATCCAGTGTAGCAGCCTGGAGAAAATAAATCAGAAATACTAATGCTCATCTTTCTAGCCTAGTTGGAGAGTGTTCCTTAGGATTTCAGAAAAGGTACTGTTTTCAACTTTCGTGCTTGAATTGAAAGATTTGGGGGAAAAAACCAAACAAACACAACTTACAAAAGTATTCATATTGCTCAGTGATGTTAAGTAGGTGGTTACAATAAGTAAATAAATAAATGGATGTTTCATGCATCAGATCAAGATGCCTTTTTCAGTTGCCTAGCCTCCACACTCTCATTTTTGTGATATCCTAATTTTAACAACTAAGCAATAGCTTTTTCAGCTATTGAAGACATTTCTCCCATTAAAAAAAGGGAGCAAGCTTGTCCCCTCCCAATCCTAAAATTCTAGCTGTGCAGCAGAAAGGGACCCCAAAAATCAGCATCAGCCCTGGTGTCTCAAATATAAAATATCAAGTTTCAATGCAAGACGTTTATGGCCCCATCAGTTAGAAAGTGACTTTTTCCTCACAAATTAGAGTAGCAGAGTCCTGTGGAGGTCCATGCAACTTTACCAACTTTATACAAAACAGGCAGGCAGAGATGCATCACCGTGGGGTGGTTATGACATGTTCAGTGTAAAAACTTAAGCTTCACGTAAAAACTTAAGCATCGCATTCCCATCAAACCTTTTACTCCTATCCTTTACTTAACATCCCTGCTAGACCCAGGAACTACATTATGCCCAGTCCTGCAATGACTTATGCGGGCTTGATTTGACAAACCCTTAGCATTTTACCCAAGACAAAGTAACTATTCACAGAGAACAAAATTAAGTATGTAAACAAGTCTGTTCAGGAAGAAGGCTCTAGTTTCCACTACAGCCTAAAATGCCATGTTTCAGATCACCCTCCTGTTTAAAATGAGAAGGAAAAAAAAGACTTCTTAATCACTTTCAGATTTTCCATGCATTGGTAGAGAATACCATTGACCTCCTTTTTCTCTTAATCATTCACTTCTGCATTTAACAAATGTTAGGGGAAAAGGGTGGGGGAGAAGAGGACAAAGCCTGAAGGTTGCAACTCAGTTTGGTAGTGGTTAAGACATATCTCGCTGTAGTTTGGAAATCTGCCAGCTCTAAGCAGAATCCAGTTGGTGTGGGATGAAGGGATGCTGGCAACCAATCAATACGGCAAATCTTACAGAATAACGTCTTTTCCCATCAGTGACAACTAAAATCTGTTATCTGGCTGCTACTATTGCTGATGAAGGAAAGATAGATATTTATTTAAACACCAAGCTGTGATTAAAAAAAAAAAGCATTTGTGTTATGAGAAAATGTGTAGTTGCAAAAAGACTTCTGTTGTTAGCAAACCAACAAGCTTTTCATCTGATGCGTGCTTTCGCACAGGGAGTTGGTCTTTGAAGATGGGTACTTGTGTGACTGGCTTTCAATCAAAAAGCACCCTACCTAAATCACTTCAGCTCTTCTGACATTCTTGTGCAAAAAAAGCTGCTGTTGACTTTGCTCGAAGCTTTGTCGTTTTACTGTGCCATGTAAAATACCTCTGACTTAAAGAGATTCATCTTTTGGGATACAGTGACCAGTGTGAAGTAAATCCCTGTTTCTTCCCCCATTAGGAAAGGGCTTTCAATCAAAAAGCACCCTACCTAAATCACTTCAGCTCTTCTGACATTCTTGTGCAAAAAAAGCTGCTGTTGACTTTGCTCGAAGCTTTGTCGTTTTACTGTGCCATGTAAAATACCTCTGACTTAAAGAGATTCATCTTTTGGGATACAGTGACCAGTGTGAAGTAAATCCCTGTTTCTTCCCCCATTAGGAAAGGGAAAAGCCATAGCCGAGATAGACCACTACCGGTTACAGAGGGAGAAGGAATTTCGGAACAAGCAAACAAATGTAAGTAAAAAACCTGCATATGTTCTTTTGTAGTCAATCTGCTCAATGGTAAAACAAATTGCTTCCAACAGTGTTACATGGAGACTTCTGCAAACCAACATGCTCATACTGATTAAACAGAGAGATGTCACCTGTGCCATGTATATGCTTCATTTTGACTTCTTCACAGGCTTTGAATGCATTTGTAGAAGGCATTGTGGACTTTCACCACTAAAATTGTCCAGATTCTGTATTTGGTTCATGCTTGTCCTTTGAAGACGTATCTCCCTTAAGGAAAAATACCTTTGGGTCTTCTTTCTTTGACTCCAGACAGACCTCATTCCTGTCTTGAAACTGGAGGCTTCAGTAAGGTGGACGTTTCAGTAAAAACAAAGATTTAAAATCTTTCTATTTCTGTTCCACTGTAGCTGACTTTTTTGACTGCATACAGGACTGCATCTTTGATGAACTGAAATCACCAAAACTTTGGAGTTTTTCACTATGTTTTCATAGTAAAAGTGGTCTGACTGATATTTTCATATCCAAATTATAGTAAATTGTATACTTTTATGCCATCTTGCAGTTCTCTAGTATTCTAGTAAAGGTAAGGAAACTACATGTGCAAAAGCAGCCACAAAAAAAGCCAAAGAGGTCAAATAAAAATTGCTTTACAAACCTGTCATTTCAGTCACACTTCACATAAAACATTTTCCAGCAGAGATCACAAGCCTTAGGAACAGATATACACACAAGGTTTCTAACATACACTGCCAGCCCCCAGACACGCTGTCACACAGCCAGGCCAGGTGGAATTGTCTCATATGTACAATTTCAGATGTTTTCTACACTAAAATAAAGTAAAAACACCTCTAAAACTTGTTCACCTTTTCAGTCAAGCCACACTTCTTGGTTTACAACTGAAATAGCGGAAGAGAAAAGATGTTGCTTTGGTGCAAACTCAATTTTTTCATCACAAACAAAATTAAAGCTGCAGGGAAAGGCCACTGTTTGTCAACTGAACATTTCACACGAGCAGGACAGAGCACATATTGCTCCTCAAATGACAGCATGTTGTACAAGATCATTGCAGTGCTCCTTCACGTTCCCTGACCCCATTATGTCGAACATTTATCTACCCAGACAAATGTCATCATTATTAACCTGTGCCTGGCAGGCAGTCAGGAGTTCCAGCTAAGCCAGTGCAGAGGGAAGTCTGATGACCAGCTCAGTTTACTGGCTCAGGTATTTGGACACAAGTATTTTTAATTCTTTGTCGCAGTCTCACTTAATGCTATTCCTCCTTTTACTTCGTGTTGCTGTATCCAAACTGGGATAAATTTTCTCATACTATGAGATGTTCCACATCAGTCCAGAATGAACAACAGCAGCAACAGAAAATAACGATTAATTTGAGGTTAGAGTGATAATACGCAAGATCTTTTTTCAAAACATACAAAATTTAAGCCCGGATCTCAAACCAATTTTGCTAATGCTCACGGTGTTTGTACTCAGGGTCTGAGATCACCGAACTCTGGAGATGGGCAGCCTAGTTCTGAATTTTGTGGCTTCCAAGTCAATGCAACATTTTAGCGACTTTGGAATGATGCTAGCATAAAAACAGTACAGGCAAGATAAGGGACAGACCTTCAAGGTCAACAGAAGTCATAGACTAAGCAGAGCATTGTCTGCATTCTGACAAGAAAAAGGTCTTCAAATTCAGAAGCAGAAAAAGGGAAAAAAAAATATGTAGAAGAGTAAGAATCAACTGTCTCAAGTTACAGTATTAGCATGAACTGAGAGAGCAGGTTCCCAGTCTACAGAGGCTCTTCTTAAAATTATAATACTTTTTCTTGAGGTTTTTCAAAAGTATTTAGTAGCTGGATAACATGCAACCATCTGGGATCTCTAGAAAGTTATTTTTCCCAGTGGAAAAAATCAGCTTCATAAATCTGGTCTAAGCTGTACAATCTTTCCCACATGAGACCCTTACAACTTGTCTAAAAGCCAAAAAAGCCAGCTAAAAATAGTTACTATAGAAAACTATAATCTTTTCCCGATATTTACAATTATGTCTACATCCTGTATTTCTTCCAAATCAGAAAGTGTTTTACATCTGGATTACGGACAAACTTCTTACTACGTTGCCAGGTACTGATAAATAGAATTGCAAAGGTGATTTGTGCAAAAGATCTTAACTCAGATGCTTTTCTTTCTTTTAAGGACTAAGTTGGGCTGAAATCACATGGAAAATAAAGCTAATGACTCCACCCTTGTTTCTGGTCATCCTCTAGGTATCCCACTAACATCACAGGTTAGCTTCAGCTGCTAGTCCACCCCAGAGAACCATGGCAGGAAAAAGAAGAATATGTTACTTATCCCTTTCTTACTCTGTCAGCCTGCAGAAATGTCTTCTGCTCTCCCCCATGGAATTTTTTAGCTGGAAACCAATTTCTCTGCCGCTATCTGAAGGACTTTTCCATAGGGGAAGAATGCAAGGGATGTTGGGGCAGTGGGGGAGGAGAGAGCAAAGTCATGGATTTGGAATGTGCGCATCTGTTTATAACATAACCTTGCTAAAATGTTCAGTGAGTCTAGAGTCAATTAAATTCTAAGCGAATGTCCTGATATTAACTGTGCCAGAAGCTGTCTGGTATTTCTCCAGATAAGAAAATGTAACATTAAAAGACCTTGTCTGAGGCCTGTTGAGGGTTATACATCACTAACTGCTGAAGACATTTCAAGTACTCTGAAACCGTAATTATGCATTGTCAGGAAGGCTTTCCCATGTTTTGCTCCTGAGCTGCGCTCACGTTCATTCTCAGTGAGGCCAAACGAAGCACACTGGTGATAGAACTTAGTTGACCAGTCATTAAAATAGAGGCCAAACGAAGCACACTGGTGATAGAACTTAGTTGACCAGTCATTAAAATAGAAAACAAATTAAAATGAGCGATATAAGAGACAAAACATGTACAATGTTGTTCCCACAGTGAGCTGGGCAACTTTCATTACATGGGGAGATTCCCATTGCTAATGAGCACATGAAAGAGTTCCCCTTAATCCTGTTTTTATGCGTACAGTTCAACCTAGATCATACCCTTACTGTTAGGAAGCAGTGTGACATGTTTGCATTATGTTTATGCTAGATGATGAAATACAATAAACATAGTCATATATAACCTTTTATTTTGCTCAGAGGACTTCTGCTTTTCAGGTAATGGGCTCCCAAGGTAACCTCTCTGCTAAAATAGAAGAGCAAACAACAGAAACCGTCCGAAATCTCACTAGCAGCTACCACAAGAACATGGAGAGCATGATGAAAAAGCTTTTGAGCACGATATATGACATCAACCCTGAAGTTCACCCAAACTTCAGACACACAGTTTAAGATCCATTGATGTGCTGGGGAAGGATGTTTGTAAAAAGTAGCCTTCTTTCTTGATAAGAATAAATATTTCCTCATTTATTGTTTCTGTATGTGTGAGACAAGAAGAACACTAAAGCCAAAAGCACACAGTTCCACATAAGCTTTTGACGTGACAAGAATTACACAGGGTTTCACAAGCGGTTTTTGGAGTTTCCTGTTGGTAGCTAAGCCCCTGTCATTTAGACGGGGGCAAGTCAACAACAGCACAATAAATGATTATTTGACACCAGCAGCTTTTCAGTGGGAGTCTTTATTCCTTTTCTCTTATAAAATGTTCTGTACTAGGATGCGGTGTTGCATAAAGTCTGTTTATCCCAATCATTATTATACTTCAAGTCACGCGACATAGAATATCACAAAAACTTAAAATAAAGCATTTATGTTTTTCTTGTGACACAAGGAGTGGTCAGGTTATGGAACATATAGGAACTCTGTAGCTTTTGGTCAAAAAGAATAGGTCAAAACATTTTCAATTTTTGTATGCTAGTTTAAAGCAAAATATAGCTGACTTGTACAGAATTATGTTCAAAAGCCGTACTCAAAGTATTGTCCTGTTGTTTAACTACACCACAAACTCTACATAGCTTTGTTAAGTCTGAAAAATGAGAGCAGGAGTAATCATTATTTACAAAATTGCTTTGGTTCATGGTGCAGACTAGCACATCCATCATTACCTATACAGTCACACCGAAAGCACAGGAATCCATGAGCTCAAACTCTACACCAGTTACACTAAATGGTTCTTTAATCCACAGGTTGTTCACAGAAATCACGTCAGTTAGAGCTCACTTCTGTTACCCTAAGCGACCCTGAGTAATACTTCCCTCTGCAATGGCACAGATTTCCCTTGGAATAAATTCTACAGAAGTTAGGAAAATACAATATGATCTGGAGCTTTCAAGGTGAAGCCCATTAAATCTGATGGGAGGCTGATGGGAGGCACTGATGAAGTGGGGGTCTGGCACACACCTGCATCATGAACCCCCTTAATGCCTTGTCTCCACTACAAAATTACACTGAATTAGAAAAGAAGCTTGAGAAATTGCAATGACTAGCAAACAATAGCCATGATTTTCAGTCCACGTAGACACGGACAAATCATTTCAATTTCACAGCAGCTAGTCATAGGCAATCTCCTGTTCCAGCGAGGTTTACACAGCTGACATGCTGTCATGTGTAAAATGACCGTAAAGCTGTAGTCAACTTAACGTCAGCAAACATGACTCCTCAAGGCTGTGCCTGGATGCTACATAATCTCCAAGCCCTGATTGTTACAGTCTCCTGTGCTCGATTATATTCTCTGGGGACGCAAGGATGCCGAGGAATGGGAAAGAGACTAGAAATCCTATTGACATCAGCTGAAAGGCTCATTTATTTAGGAGTGCTTTGAATCAAGTTGTGATAGGCTTTAATTTACTGATGGGATGAAGGAACTCCAGTCGCAGTCTACGCGCACAAGCTGACGCAGGCACCCTCCTGCACGAGCAGGGCAGCCGCATTGCCTCGCTGCCTAGGCGCACGTGCCTCCAGTTTGGGTCGTGGCTGCAGTCCCAGTCTAGTGCTCAACTGTGAAGCATATATTTTCTGTGAACTTAAACAGTCACCAAGGTGGACACTAATCTCTCACGAGAACTCACTGCAGTGTTCAGGACTGCTCTGCTTTCCCGTCTGGGCTGCGCCAGCACCCTTTCCACTGGTTATCACTTCTAAACATACAGAACTGTTGCAGGTGCACCTGCAGAACTAAAGCAATGGGGGTTCCGTTGCCAGCCGTATGGGATAACAATACACACCCCTGTACGGCAAGAGCAAAATTGCCACAGCGTAGTGGGCAGCAAGCTAGAAAAGCAACTTTTCAGGAGGCCAGCAACCCAGATTATGTGAAATAAAGCTTTGTCTTGCTGCATTGCCCCGCTTCTTTCTATGACATTCCCCCTTTCCCTCATTCTTGCCAAAATCTGTCTTCTGTCACCAACTGCTTCTCTTGCAAAGCTTCTGCCCTCCCTTCAAGGCTACTCTCTGCCCTTCTGGTCCTAATGGCCACAAACACTTCTCTTATTTAAATCTTCTTTAAAATACATTATCCCATGAATACACTCTCCTTGACAGAAACCCGAGCACATGGTGGGGGACAGTGGAAGTCACCGGCAGCGTGGACGAGGTGCAGATGTGCCATCTCTCACGCAGTGACACTGCACTGCCACCATGGCAATGACCTGCCTGTACCCTTGCTATCACCTGCATACTGAGATAGAAATTGGGTCTTTAAATACTCAAACTTTCTGAACGTGACTATTTTCTTGAACTGTGGCCAGAATGAAGAGCTACCTCTCATGAAAAGGGAATGAATTCGTTATGATTAGCTCTTTGATCTTGAGAGAGATAAATTTGAGAGCTTTGAGCACTCGGTGCATTTGCTCTCTTCTACGCCCATTCCAAGGGTGGTTATACCACCACTTTTAGCTGTACAGAGGTAAAGGCCAAATTAGACTTAACGTAATTTGGCAAGATACTGGGTTTTTTTAAATGAAGAGTGTAAAGTACCAGCTGCATCAATGGAATATTAAGGTGCCAAGAAAATGCCTGCTGAATTTACAAGTGCACAAAATATCTTGTATGTGACATTTGCATATTCAGGATAATGGCAAATAACCATTCCATTCAAAAGAAAAAGAAAGAATAGAAGCAAGAAGGTTTAATTTCAAAATACTCTCAAGTGTATAAAAAAGTAAAACTGCTTGCTCTGTACTAGCAGTTACCTACCAGGGATGATTACAAACGACTGGTTAGATCAGTCTTGAGCAAAACAAGCCCTCGAGGTTTAACCAATCAGTTCAATGATGTCTGTGAGGGCCCTGCCCAGACACTCCCTTCCCCCCAAGACGCGCTTCTCACCGTGACGCACCTTCCCAGCTTGTCCTCAGCCCGTCCCAGTCCCCAGGGAGGTGCCCAGTGCTGCCCTGGCTGCCAGGTCCTGCCCTGCCACCCCCTGGGGAGCATCCCCAGACCCCAGGGAGCCCCCAGCCCCCACAGTGCCCCGACACACTGTTCCCTAATAGGTACCAATGCAATTGCCAAATAAAATGGCAACATCTCACATATCACAACACAAGCAAATCTAAGAATAGAAAGCCACATATAGGTAGCATGCATGCCTTTGTAAATCTTTTTTTCATAAATACCTCTGAAATCGGGGTCTTAGCAAACATCTGAAGAGCTCCTGTGAAGGTTTACATCTCTCCAGCCA